AGTGACAGGGTTTGACCATGTTGGCCAGGCTGGTCTCGAACTGCTGACCTCAGGTAATCCCCACCTGAGCCTTCCAAAATGCTGGGATTACAGGCATGAGTCACTGCCCCTGGCCTGGGGGTGGGTATTTCTAACCTTACCCTTAATACATTTTAAAAAGTGCTTTGTTGGAAAATTAAATAAAAAATTCCTATTTTATCATATAGAAATGAGTACTGTTAACATTATGGTCTGTATGTTTCCAGTGCAAACATATACCTCTAAATAGATATAAGGGGTTATAGTAAATATACTTTGTACTCTGGTGCATTCAGTTAATGTTATATCAGTCTATTATAAATGTTCATCCCTGGGGCTAAAGCTACATATTTATCATAACTTTGACAGTCCCATAGCATCCTATTAGAGGAGGATGCACTGTAACTTTTCCACCCACTCCTACATTAAAGACAAATAATTTGTAACCAGTGTCTTTTATATTCACAACATCTTTCTTTTCTGAATACGTTTGCTAGAAGTGGAGTTGCTAGGTCAGAACGTAAACAGTTTTTGAGGCTGTTCATTCATATTTTCTAAAGCTCACCTGTGACCACTGCTTACATTTATGAGATGCCTGAGGGGGTTGGAAGCAAAGGATTGAGCTCCATAACTCGGGGAAAGTTCTTAGCATCTGTTAGCAAAACTAGCTGGTCCGGAGGATCCTGTTCACATCTGCACAGGAGTCTTAACCACCCAAGAGATTGTGCAGACCTGTGGTCTTCCTTGCTCACCTTGCTTCTGTCTTGTTGAGGCTGACAGGCTTCGGGGGATATAGTTGTGCTGGGGTTGAAGTCCCTGCTGGGGGGTGCTCAGCCATTATTTCTATGTCTCTTTCACACATGCTCAGAAGGTTTCTGAGGACTTTCATAGGTCAAATGCATTTAATTATCTGATCAATTTCATGATCTCATGAGGTGTCACATGAAAAGGCATTTTTATTTGATCATAATGGAGACCTATGTAGTGATAAGAGCAGTAAGTTCTTTGTGATTTCTGTCTACAAATTCAAGTCCTGTCGGTTGCAAATTAGTCATTTAAATTCTGGGAATTATTTTCTTGGGATGGTAACATGCCAAGTTTAAAAAAAAAAAAAAAAAAAAGCTAGGGTGAGGGAAAAGCTCTCTGGTTGGCTGTGTTCCTGCTCCCTCTCCCTGTACCTCAGGCCTGGTTTGTTTTACTCATTGGCAAATCTTGTCTGACTGCTGTGGGTCTTCAAATCTGTGTTCCATCCTAAGAGATGCTCTACGGCAAAGGAATCTCAGGAGCAAAAGTTACAGAATAGTGGCGTGCATAGAATTACACACGCTGTGCCCTGGTTCATTTCCTGGTTGTGATATTGCCCTGTAGTTACATAAGATAAACCTCTGGGGGAAAGTGGGCCAAGGGTATGCATGACCTCTTGGTGTGATCTCTGTTACTTCCTTTGAACCTACGGTTGTTTCAAAATAAAAATGAAAAAATGAGGCCCAATGCCTGTAATCCCAGCATCTTGGGAGGCTAAGACAGGTGGATCGCTTGAGGCCAAGAGTTCAAGGTGAGCCTTGGCAATGCAGGGAGATCCTGTCTCTACAAAAAATATGAAAGGATTAGTTAGGCATGGTAACATACCCTGGTAGTCCCAATTACTCAGGAGGCTGGACCCAGGAGGCTGAGGCTGCAGTAGGCCATAATTGTGCCACTGTATTCCAGCCTGGGAAACAGAGCAAGACCCTGTCTTAAAGCCCCCCCAAACCCAACAAGACGTAGTACATTCTGGGGGTCAGAGGCAGAGCCAGTTTCCTCTTGAAGTGGTCAGCATGCCAGCCAGATGTTTGAGTTTCATTCAGAGGGATTTCAGTGGTCCAGAGACCTGAGAGTGTTAATTTCTCAGAAAGTCAAACAATTTTGCTGGTACAAAGTTGGCTGGGGTGAATTTGTGGCTCCCGAAGTTGTCCATCCAGTGGCTGGTTTGTCATCATTTTGATGGATGTCTGATTTGTTTTAGAAACCTTGGTTTCGTTGTGTTAGGTTTTTTTTTTTTTTCTTTTTAGATGGGGTCTCTTCCTGTTGCCCAGGCTGGAGTGCTGTGGTATGATCTCAGCTCACTGCAGCCTCCGCCTCCTGTGTTCAAGGCGATTCTTCTGCCGCAGCCTCCCAAGTAGCTGGGATTACAGTTGCGCAACACGACGCCCTGCTAATTTTTATATTTTCAGTAGAGACAGGGTTTCACCATGTTGGCCAGGCTGATCTTAACTCCTGACCTCAAGTGATTTACTTGCCTCAGCCTCCCAAAGTGCTGGGATTACAGATGTGAGCTACTGCACCCACCCTGGTGTGATTTTTAGATGGAATCTTAACACACTATTAAAAGATTCCTTCAAAATAGTAGAAAAGCAGCTATTTGAAGCATTTTAGTGCTGGTCACAGAGTTGAAGTTGAACAGGGAAGCTGAGGATCAGCCTGACTACTATAAGCAAGTGAGAGGAGTCCTCGCCGCCAAACATTGACATGGCTTGTGTTGGCCATGGGGCCTCTCGGAAAATGTTCTTCAATGAACTATGGTTTAGAAATGTGTATAAATTGCTTTCTTTCCCTGGTTTTAAGATATGTGACTTGAATTCACATGTGGAGACTGGGAGTAGGCTGAGCTGCAGGATGATGGCTAAAGGAATCCTAGAAAACATGCTCTATAGTCTAATGGCTCAAGCCTGTAATGCCAGCACTTGGGAAGGCTGAGGTGGGTGGATCATTTGAGGTCAGGAGTTCAAGACCAGCCTGGCCAACATGGTGAAACTCTGTCTGTATTAAAAATACAAAAATTAGACAGACGTGTTGGTGTGTGCCTGTAATCTCAGCTACTCGGGTTGCTGAGGCAGGAGAATTGCTTGAACCTGGGAGGCTGAGGTTGCAGTGAGTCAAGATCACCTCACTGTACTCTAGCCTGGGTGACAGAGTGAGACTCTGTCTCAGAAACAAACAGACAAACAAAAAAACATGCTGTACAATCCCCATCAGGGAAGATTTTCTCTCGTAAACGTTTTGAGGGCTTGTTATTTAGTTTCAAACATTTGCTATTCATGTCACAGATGGAAGAAGTGCAAACACCTGTGGAGGCATCCATGACAGGCTTTGTCTAGGATGAGGGGATAACTAAGGGACTCCCTTGTGGCTTACTTTCTCCAGAGCCTCGAAGATAGGGTTCTCAGGTCTATGGTAGTGTCTGCGTTTGATTCCGATGTTTTTATCTGCCAAAATACAGCACAGAGAAGCAAAATACAAAGAAAATGCTGTTGTCGTGGGCTGAGATGTAGTCAAATGCATTGAAAACAGACACTCAGCCCCAGGGATGAGCAGTCTCAAGTTTTTCAACTAAGTCAGTGTTTGGTGTATCTGTACCAGTGTGTGGTATTTCCATTCGTAAATAGACTGAGAGGCTTACTGTGGTGCATTATTACATGAGATGACCCAGTCTCAGAAAAATTGATACTATCCTGTCTTAGAAGCTCTGAATATATTGGATTGATAGTGATTGTTAGAGCATGGAGGAATGCCTGAAAGGTATATACTAGGTTTTTACCATTGGTTACCGTGGGGAAATGTTGAAGGGAACAGTAAACAAGGGAAAAAAATCCTCAAACATTGTGTGAATACACAAAGCAAATTGATGTGAAGAATGTTTAATCCCCCATAAAATTATTTATAATGTGTGTGTGCACCTAGAGAAATAATAGGATGGATATAAAAATGTTAATGGGGTTTATTTCAAGGCATTGGGGTGTTTGCATGTGTTTGCATTTCTTCTTAAATGTGTTCTGATTGGGTATTTTGCAATGAACATTTTTATTTTTATAATCACAGAAGAAACCCAGTCTCCAGCTCTTTTCAGTGCAAGGAAAGAAAAAATATAGCACATTGAAAGGCACTTAGGCTAAAGACCTGAGGTGTAGGGGGTGGGGGCAGAAATAGAAAATGTGGAAGAGGTATTTCCCTCTCGTAGAGCTGGTTGGAAACCAAGTCTGAATCTTAAAGAAGATGGCACAAAGTCCTCACCTGGGGGCAGGGAGACCTCGGTTCAGATCTTGCTAGTATGTTTTACTGGCGTCCTTAGTCAGAAACCTTACTCATCCAACTCCTGTCCTGTAAAATGAGGAGAATACTGCAGGCCATTGTGCATTTTTCTACTCAATGAAGCATCTTTCCACTGAATGACGAATGAATGGACAAGTGAATGGACGGATGCATGCTTGATTCAGAGAGACATATGTAAAGCCTAAATCCTCAACAAATGGCAGTTTTTTCCCCATTGATCCTCACATTCTGTTGTCAGCCAGTGTATGCAGGAAGTGAATTCAGTAGGTGGGGTCCTGTCATAACCTGGGTTCTGTGTTCCTTAGTGTAATCTTACATGGGGGTGGATGTGGACTTGGTCAAACTGTTTCTCCTTATGCCTCAATTTCCTTATTTGTAAAATGAAGGTTGTGTTAGTGCCTTGGAAGGATTCAAGGAGATGCCATACAAACACTTGACATGATGCCTGGCAGATAATAAGTGTTTACTATATGTCACAGTTGATGAAAAGATTAAGAGCATTCCCTAGGGTGAATGCATAGTACTCAGTACATGCTTTTGTAAATGGAGAGAAGACTAGAGTTCCTGACACTGAATAAACATCTGATAGATAGGTAGCTTCAAATACTCTAAGCACAGCCTGTGTACATGTTCTGAATTTGTGGACACTGAAACCAATTGGTGCTTTTCTGTCTTGTGAAAGAACAGTTCTTAAAGGCATTCTGCAAACGTGCCCTTGGTAACAGCCTTCTCCTGTGATGATCTCTAAACCATGAGAATATATTAACATTTATAACATGCAAATTTTTTTTTTTTTTTTTTTACACAAATTTACCACCCACCCCCTCCCCTTGCCATGGGTCCACGTTGTCACTTTTTAAATTTATATCTTTTAACGTTTTTTGTACCTGCAGGGAAAACGAGGTGCTCAAAGTCCAGCTGAAGAAGTATGTAGGAGCTGTCCAGATGCTGAAAAGAGAAGGTCAAACAGCTGACGGTGAGGGGGAACCTGAGCCCGGGTTGGGAGGGGCTGGGCTTTTTTATGAACACCCCTACCTGGCAAACAGTAGACCTTGAACATGTGATGAGTGCATTTGTGGATGGATTAGGATAATGGTGCTGCTCAGGATTCCAGAAAATGAATCGGGTGGAAAAAACCGATGCATATTCCTGCAACATGTGTGACTAATATTGTAAGACTCATTTGCTAGACTATTAGCAACAGTTGTATATATTTGTGTACTTAGGGAATTTTATGTCCAGAGTCTTGAGACAGTTGCATGGCAGTGAACTTTGTGGTATGATGAAGTCACAGCAGACCATGAGTGCAAGCAACAGAAAGCCAAGATGGTAGATAATGAGAGCGGTGCACTTAGGCTGATCACGTTCCAATCCTAGCTCTGGTTAAGTTTTATAATCTCTCTGCACCTCAGTTTTTTCCTCTGTACAAAGAGGTTGGTTGACAGTGCTTTCCTCATGAGGCAGTTCATGTGGACATCTTAGCATAATGCCTACCACAGTATAAGTGCTGGATAAATTTTAGCTATTGTTATTGTTACTATTAATCAGAAATTCCAGTAGACAGAAGAACATCATGATGATCTCACCAAACGAGGTAGGGCCATGTACTGCTTCTAAAATCTCCTAAAATATTTCTCAGGGCAGCCTGAAGAAAAGATTTTAAGCTCTGGCTGATGTGTTTTTCCAAAAGGCCATAACAAAATTTCCTTAAAGACAAGCTCATAGATTGTGACTGTTTTAACAAACGGTGGGCATTCCACATTCACAGATTTTTTTTTTTTGAGACAGAGTCTTACTCTTCTGCTCAGGATGGAGTACAGTGATGCAATCTCAGGTCACTGCATCCTCTGCCTCCCAGGTTCAAGCAGTTCTCCTGGCTCAGCCTCCCAAGTAGCTGGGATTACAGGTGTCTGCCACCACGCCCAGCTAATTTTTGTATTTTTAGTAGAGATGGGGTATCACCGTGTTGGCCAGGCTGGTCTTGAACTACTGATCTCGAACTACTGATCTCAGGTGATCCACCTGCCTCGGCCTCCCAAAGTGCTGGGATTACAGGTGTGAGCTACCACACCTGTTCGTCATGTTTTCAGAGTCAACCAAACTGAATTCATGTTCACGTGACTGCCTGACCTCTTGGAATTCTTTTCTCATATGTACCAGGACATCACAACAGTTTCATAAGGGTGTTCTGAGGGTTTTCCAAAACAATGAATGCAGAGTTTCTGGTATGCTCCCTGTCGTATAATTAATGGTTGTTATTTTCCTGTGTGATGGAGACAGGAGAGGATTGGAATCTGGCTATGGCTTATTTAGTAGTAGAATAAAGACATGAATGTTTCTGAAGCTTGTGTATTTCTTTTGGTTCCCATTTGATCGGAATCAGCTTATTGGTGATACTATTTTATAACATGCCTTGCTTCGTTCATATTTGGTGTGTATCTGTGGTCATTCTGGGGTTTATCAGTGCAGAATTAATCTTCTTTCTCTGTGGGCTCATGCCCTTTTCATACAGATACTGTTATTAGGCCCTGAATTCATTTCATTATACAGAATTATTTATATGTTGGTCTTCTAAGTGTTTACCTCTCATCTCTGTTTCCTCAGCAACTGACTTTTTAGTCATTCATTACATATTTTGAATGAGTAGTATTTGTCTAGCCCTTTTACCCTTTCCAAGCAAGTTCAAATGCACTCTGATTTGACTCGGTAACCTTGTGATGAGTAGGTATTTTTCCATTATTTTAAAGTTTGTTATTAGAGGCTTAGGAGAGCTTAAGGGGCTGGTACATGTATCTGTGGAGGAAATGAACTCCGGCATTTTTCTGCAAACCTCTCATACTTTGCATTATAAAGTTTTTTAAAACTTTACTATGCAGAGGAATTGCCTGGGGAGCCCATTAAATATGCCTCTCTCCAGGAACCTGCCTCTGGGAGTTAATCCAGTGGATTTAGGATGAGGCCCTAGATTAGCACGTCTAGTTATGTGACTCCAATGCAGGTGACCTGTGGACCGCACCACCACCTTTTGTGAAATCTGCATGTTACTTACACAGAACGTGGATTCAATACAAGACAAAGTTGGGTTAAAAAGAAACACCACTGGGCTTGCTTTTGATTTGAAAACCTCATTGGTACACAGTGCATTTCTAAGTAGGAAAATTTTGAGCATGATTCTCCCCAAATGGGCCTATGGGACCTACAATGTACAGAATGGTTTTTCATGGCAGCTGAAGGTCCATTTCCCTAGACCCATGCTGAGTGCCCTGAGCCACAGCTAGGTATGAGCCATTTCAGGATGTAGTTACAACAGCTCTGACATGGATTAGAGCCGAGGTGGTTACATACATACCGCACCTTCACCCAGCAGCAGTCTCTTAGTCTTCTTTCTCTGAGCTTGTAATTCAAGACCATGTCACCTTCTCTGTGAGTTCTCCTTCAGTGGAAGGTTTCTAGGAAAACCCTCAAGTGTGGACATGTACCTGTGTTTCATTGTTGCTTGTGTAAGTCCTGCAATTTAATCCTTCTCTCACTTTAAATATTAGCACCAGCTGTGTGCCAGACACACAGCCTTATTAAAAGACAGCTCTTTGAAAAATTGCCCCCTGGCTTCAATAGTTTATTGTCTAACTTCAATTGATGTCACCTATTACCCAAAGAAATTGGAACTCACTCCTCAGCCCCAGCTAGTTACTGCCTCTGTTTGTTGAAATCTGTTGAGTGTGCATTGGCCAGGCTGTGGCAGCTCCTGGTGTTTGCGAGTTGGAGGAGCCAGGGGTAGAGAGTGATTGGAGAAGGGGTAGTTCTTTCTCCATCTATGATTTCCTTGGTTCCCAGCGTTGGGGCCTAGCTTCTCAAACTCTGGGTGGGAACTTAGATGTACTTTCTGTAATATAAACCTTTTAGTTTGAGGATATATAAAGAATGTTTTTGTCTTTTGGAAATAAGTTGTTGATGACATTGTGAGCTGTCAGTAGGGAAAAGAGTGAACAGCCATTTAAGCCCCAAATGCCTTCTGGGTTGAATAGATTGCTGAGTGCTATTCAGGGGTCACCACCTGCATTATTACATTCTTAAGGAAAATGCCTCCAGGATTTAAACAAAACAACTTAAAATGAACTTTTAGAATAGACATTGATAATCGCTAATTTTACAAATTTCAGATTCCCCCCTTCTTTTTTTCTTTTTCTGTTTGTTTGGAAGCCTGATCTAGTTCCTCAAAGAAAATAATTACTTAAGTAGCAAAATGAGGACTGGAATTTGGGTATCTTCATTACATAATGGAAAGAGTTTCTCCCCCACAATGTGGTCCATAAGTGAGGTTGGTTTATTTGCCTCTCAAGTGCTGTTTTTCCTTGGTGATGTCAGATTTGCAAAAGCTTAGACCTTTATTTGTGCTTTTGTGTGTCTCTCCCCTTAGGGCAGGTTGTCCTGGTGCTCTTCCTTCAGGGTTAGAACCTTGGTGTAAGGGCTGCCATATCCATGAGGAACTCGCCTGGCAGTTCCACTTCCATTGTAACTCTTACTGGTCATTTGATCAATTCTGTTGTTAATGGTGTTGGACACCCTCTCTCCTCTCCAATGTAGGGAATTTTCACTTACGGACAGAGAGCAGGAGATCACTGTGAAAAGTCATGCTTTCGTTTTGGGCTTATTGCTGAAATTTCAAAACAAAATGTTTTCAAGTTGGCTTCCTGCTGGCAGAGGCCCCTTGGCAGCTCCCTGAGGGGTCTGGGGAGAGCAGGTGCATCACGTCAACCTTAGGGCTGTGTGGACAAGACAGGCTTATTAGGAGCGGACTCAATTAGCCAAGCACATAGACAGTGATAGACACCAGAATACTTGACTCAACAGTAGTGAGACACAGGGCTGTTGGGTAGACCAGAAGCCATGTCCTTTCTCTCGCTCATATTCTTGGGAAGCTGGAGTCTCACCTGTTGGTACTTGGAAAGTTGGAAAGGAGGAAGTAGTGGGGTGGTTCAGATGTTTAGTGGCATCGGGCCTGATGGAAGTGTGTCCAGCACTTGGAACAGGAAAGGTCTTTGGACCCTGGGAAGCTCTCACTTGGAGAGCCAGTTTCTGCTCTTTACACCGCCTTTTTCCTTTAAAAATTCATTCATTGATTCATTCATTGATTCATTCATTCATTCATTCATTCTTCTGCTCTTTACCATGCCTTTTTCCTTTAAAAATTCCTTCCTACCTTCCTCTCTCCCTCCCTCTTTCCCTCTTCCCCCCTTCTCCCCAATCCCGTGGAAGAGAGCTTTTTCTTTTTCTAGCTTATGGATTATTAGAGAGCCCTGAGTAGCGCCAGTTCTGCCTGGGATGTCAGTTGGCATTGAGGGAGCAAGGTTGGCTGTTACATGAGATGCTTACATGTTCTGTTCTTATCATATAACAAGTGGTCAGCAAATTCTAACTTTGTTTTAATGTGTAGCCATGGTTCTTCTCTTTCCCCCTCAAGTTCTCTATAAGAAATAGATGCAGGAATTAGACTAATGTGATCAAAGTAACATTTTCATTACTGGCGGTCGATTGGAGACTCGGGCTTGGCCTTAGACCGCTGATTTCCATAACTAGACCCGATAATCTCTCCTGTGAGGTGTCAGTGGGTCTTCAGAATTACTTCTCACTCATTCAGGGCCTAAGGGGAGAGAGTCCATGGGGGTGTTTTAACTTTTTTTTCCTTTTTTTGAGACAGAGTCTCGCTCTGTTGCCCAAGCTGGAGTGCAGTGGCCTGATCTCAGCTCACTGCAACCTCCGCCTCCCAGGTTCCAGAGATTCGCTTGCCTTAGCCTCTGGAGTAGCTAGGATTACAGGTACATGCCATCATACCCAGCTAATTTTTGTATTTTTAGTATAGGTGAGGTTTCGCCATGTTTGACATGCTGGTCTCGCCCTCCTGACCTCAGGTGATCTGCCTGCCTCGGCCTCCCAAAGTACCGGGATTACAGGTGTGATCCACCATGTCCGGCCTGA